TGCCCAATTACTAACTCATGTTCATATACATAAAGCTACCATCACGTTGTGTTGCCCATTACGGAGTAAAGATCCGTGGCCCAGTAAATTAATAAGAATGATACAATGCGAGCCAATATATTTAGATAGGGAAGTAGATACTTTCCTATATCAGGGTACCCGAGCTGTCCAGAAGACGCCCTGGAGACATATTATATTATGTCGTATAGGTCCCATTGGAACAACCAAATGGACCCCTTCTGAGACCTTCCTTAACAAGGTCAAAGAATAGGAGATTCCGCTCTACACTAGATTGAACGTTAAGCACTTCAAAAGCAACACAGCACCTGAAGTCTGTGCGCAAGAAATAAAATCTACTAGTGCCACTGTCAAGAAGCGTCAGTCTCTAGCTAGGACTCTGTTTAATAACATAAAGTCCAAGCCCGAAGTCTTTCAGACACTCTTACTAAAGGGATTAATGAAAGATAATCCCGAAGTATATACACATATAATGCGAGTATTAAATAAGTCAAGTGTATCAAACGCAATTGAGCGCACTCATGACACTCATGCAAAAGAAGGACAGGAGTCTGGATACACTGCAGACTTAGAGACCACGCAAGTGGATCCTCAACACCCTACCTTTATACTGGAGGAGCTTAATGATAAAAACATTATTGCTTGGCTGACGCAAAACCATAAGCTGAAGCACCAGAACGTAGTAGACGCACTTAAAGATGCTAAGCGAAATGGGATCGCGCACCCTCAGCTGGCAACTTTAGTTGACAGAATATATCAGTCATGTACAGACTGTGATCTCATTCAGATCAAGCGCTATGGGTTCGCACCACTTAATAGTGTGACCGAAGATGTTCCATGGCGCAGGGTCATCATTGATCTGGTTAACCTGCCCACGTCCAAGCACTCAGGCGACCGTTATGTATGCCACTTCTTTGATGTGGCGTCACGGTTTAACTTGCTCTATCCATTAAAGGATAAGAATACGCAGACCGTGGCAGAATCATGTTGCCAAGTCTTTGCTGACCACGGGTGGCCAGGTATTATGTGCACTGATAACGGTAGTGAGTTCTGCGATGACGTAATGGAATCGCTAGTACTCGTATCAGGCATATGCCATAAGAGAGGTGTGCCATATAAGCCGCAACGCAAGGCGCGAATGAAACGCGCCATAGAAGACTCGAGTTCTTCTTGCGTACTGCATTAACGGATGATGCAGATGATTGGCCGTAACACCTTAAGTGGGTACAACCACAGATGAACGAGTGTGTTGATCCGGTTACAGGAACTACACCCGCTCGCTATTTTTGTGGCAGATATAGTGAGTTACAAATCCCCTTTAACAAGGACGAACCTGATCACCGTGAGCTACCCTGGCTAGAGAAGGTACAACGTATTTATAACGTTGTATATCCTTGCTTGCGAGAAATACGCAATATAGCCTTATTAAAAAGGCGAAAGCGTTGAAACACTACCAAGAAGATAGCAGAGTATCAGGTTGGTGACAGAGTTAACATCCGTCAACGTAATTCCGATGCTAATGTATTAACATTTAAATGGATAGGTCCATATATAATCTCTGTAGCAGACACTAAAAGTGGAACGTACGAGGTAAATAAACCAGATGGTTCTAGTGCGCATAATATAGGCACAAGTCGTATTCCGACTACAGAGATTATACTCGCAAGAAGACATGACTCTAATGCCCCTCTTGATCGTTCTTAACTTAAAGACATTTTATGGAGAACGGATAAGGAAAGCTATACATACTATCGTACACGCTTTATAGACGGTACAATAGCTGAGTTGACTTCAGATGCTTTCGATAATCAAGACGATTTGAAATTTAATCGAAAATGGCATAAACGCCTGCATAAGTCACGAGCTGAAAAAGATAGCATGTTTCCATCGTCTGAAGGCACGGAAGTTAAAACTTATCCGCCTACAGCAATTATCCCGAGCTTTAATGCTCATCCTTTATATATGCTTAAGACACTGAAGCGCAACAAACGTCCAGTCGACCAACAT